GTTTGTTGCACACACTCGTGTGTGTGTGTGTGTGTGTGTGTGTGTGTGTGTGTGTGTGTGCGTGCGCACGTGCATTAAGTGTGTAAGTGCATGTGTTTGGTCAGTGTTTCGGCCTGCTGGGCGTGAACGGAGCGGGAAAAACGACCACCTTCAAAATGCTGACGGGTGACACCGTGGTGACCAGCGGCGAAGCCTTCCTCGCTGGGAAGAGGTCGGCTCAAAATTCATTTGTTCAGGTCACACGCCATCGTGCTAACGCGCTCACGCCCATCAGTATCCTGCGGGAGCTGGACCAGGTCCATCAGAACATGGGCTACTGCCCCCAGTTCGATGCCGTCAACGAGCTGCTGACAGGAAGAGAACATCTGGAGCTCTACGCCATCCTGAGAGGAGTCCCCGGCAAGGAAGTCTGCGACGTGAGTGGCGAGCCGGCCCGGGGACGCCGTGAGGCTTTTGGCTTCCGGGGGGATGAAGACGAGCGCGAGCGCGACCGTGACGCTGTGCTCAACAGGTGGCCGAGTGGGGCATCAGGAAGTTGGGCCTGCTCAAGTACGCCGACAAAGCCGCGGGAAGTTACAGCGGCGGCAATCTACGCAAACTCTCCACCGCCATGGCGCTCATCGGCGCCCCGCCCGTCGTCTTCCTGGTGAGTGAGGCGGCGCGGGGAGACGCGCGAGCCAACCCCAGCCGCCACGTTAGCGTCCCTTCCGCCGCATTTGTGGCCAAGTAGGTGGGGATGGTACAGGACACCTATGAAGGCAACGGAGGTATGCCGTAGGAGGAGTTGAAAGTGGAGGTGGGGGCGCATCAGGGATCCGCTCTGATCCCCTTCCACTTTGCGATGATGGATGGGCTGACAGATGAGCTTTGTCGATGAAATTGGGATCTGCCGGTTGAGGAACATTTGGAAAGGTGGAGGCCTGCGCTGGACTCACTCACCTAACCGGGTTAAGAACCGCTGCTCTCGTCACGTTAGTGCACCTCAGCCACCACGTTGGCATCCTTTTGTCCCACTTTGAGGGTGTTTCCGTGTTTGGCTCGGTTACCGCGTTGATCAGCTTGGATTCGTGCGACCAATGAAACCACAAGAAGCTGCTCATCCGGGTTTTTGGTTTCGGTTACTTAGCGAGCCGCGGGCCAGTCAGCGCGCAACTTTGAGTGACGCAAGGCGGAGGGGCTTAAGAAGGGCCGAGCGCAGTTGAGTCGTCGCGGCGTGCCCCGGTCCTCGAAGCCTTCTCTCTCTCTCTGCTTCCTGTTGCGCTTGCGGCCGGAGTTAACCCTGGCTGTCGCCGCGCTAACAGGACGAGCCGACCACGGGCATGGACCCCAAAGCCCGTCGAGCGCTCTGGAACTGCATCCTGGATGTCATCAAGGAGGGACGCTCCGTGGTGCTCACCTCGCACAGGTGCCTTTGTCTCGCTTGTCCTTCATGTGTCTCCTCGCCGTCTTAGCGCATTCCTCACGTGTCTCCATGTCGCCTTCTCTTCCCGTGACCTTCACGTCTCCTTGTGCGCTGGTTCCCTCATCCTGTGTTCGTTCACGTCTCCTCCCTCCTCGCGCTTAACTCGGTGTGTGATTAGCGACGTGCGCGCAGCATCAAAGGGGAACTCAACCCCCAAAATGTTCTCTGTCAGAATACGCACGTTGTATATATATATCGGTGCCAGCACTTCACATGAAGTAAAGAAATTTCCTTCATGTGAAGTTTTGGAAAGCGCTTTGGCCACCGTATGGCATCAATCAAGACCGTTTCTGACACACGTGATGATTTGCCAATCTGTCAAACGGCCACCGTAAAGTGCCAAGTCCTGGAGAGGAGGACTTACTCCATGTCTTTTTTTGGGGGGTTTGTTTGTTTTGCCTTAAGTATCACTTGCTGGTATCGGCAGCCTTCATGAGTATGTGATACGTTGAAATAAGGGCAGTATCGACTTTACTCACCCATGCCTGAAATGTAATCACCTGTGTGTGTGTGTGTGTGTGTGTGTGTGTGTGTGTGTGTGTGTGTGTGTGTGTGTGTGTGTGTGTGTGTGTGTGTCAGCATGGAGGAGTGTGAGGCATTGTGCACCCGCATGGCCATCATGGTGAATGGCAGGTTCAAATGTCTCGGCAGCGTCCAACATTTGAAGAACAGGTACAACAGCCCGGGCACACACACACACACACACACACTCACACGCGCACACGCACGCACGGCTTTAAGCGAGGCGGGAAGCGGGTGCAGGAGCTCAGCGCCAGCTGTCGCGCGTGTGGGCCGCAGGTTCGGCGACGGCTACACGATCATCCTGCGCGTGGCGGGGCCCGACCCCGATCTCCTTCCTGTCATGAAGTTCATCGAGAGCGAGCTGAGCGGCAGCACGCTGAAGGAGAAACACCGGAACATGCTGCAATACCAGCTGCCGTCGTCGCGCTGCTCGCTCACGCACATCTTCTTCACGCTGGCCAACAACAAACACGCGCTGAAAATTGAAGACTACTCCGTCACGCAGACCACACTCGACCAGGTAGACGCACGCAGGCGCCCCCGCGCACACACGCGCATAGATGTGACGCATGCTCGTTTTGCGTGTTAGGTGTTCGTGAACTTCGCCAAGGACCAAAGCGACGACTATCACTCGAAAGACGTTCACTCTTCCTCGCCCTCGACAAAGCGGCGCCGGGGCAGAAGCGCAGTCCGAGTGGACCTTCCTCCGGCGGAGTGCGCCAAAGAGAGCATCATGTGACCGTATCGCGCGAGGGATCACGTGACGTGCGATTTGAGAACGAGCCGCGTAACGGGCGGAGCGGACGCCCGTCGCCTCGCGATGCCAATGATTTCCGTCGGCGGCGGGAGGGCGTGACCTCGCCGCACGGCGGAAGGAAAAAAAAAACTTGAAGCGGTGCCAGCGCGCGGCCGCCATTTTCTTTTTAGAATGGTGTCAAGTTGCGCGTGTCGATGAAGATTCCAAATCATTTCAAATCATCGTCTGTTCATTTTATTTATGTTTGTTCGACTGCCAATCAAAGTGTTGATTTTTTTATTTTTTTTTTTTATATCAGAAGCAAAAAATGAAATATCTCTTGCGGAATTATTTTTTTTCTCTTGGGGAAAAAAAAAAAATCTCTTCAAATGTGACAGCAAACTGTTAGTGCAAACCTTCAAATCAAATCGATCCCCATCGCACAGCTTTGTGGAAGAAACCACTCCAAGCGCAGGAACAAGAAGATTCTGTCCAAACTTTTGGAAGTCACATTTGTGAAGGCGTCGCAGCCAGTTGGGCTCGTCAAAGGAAACAAAAGTCTGAATAAAGTTCATTCTGTCTCTTACTTATGATTAGAGTCCTACGTCTACTTTCCACTCTTTCCCCTTTTGTTGAGGTTTTTTTTTTTTTTTTACGGAGCCCCTAAGAAAAAACAACTTTGCGTTCCCTCGCAAAGTCCATGATACGACTACAGTACTAATAATAATCCATGTTATTTATAAGCGCCTTTCAAAACACTCAAGGACACTTTCCAATCAAGAACAAAAACTAAAAACCACAGATAAAATGATAAAAGACTCAAAATTGCGGGTGAGCAGCGGCAGCCAGACGCGCCAGCGTTCACTCAACCTGGAAGTGACGTTAAACTTGACATCCATGTTGGTTGTTTTCAGTTACCCGCGAGACGACCCAGAAGTACATCAAAGCGCATTTTAAAAAAAAGCACCCCCTTGCAAAATAAAAGGTTTGCATTAACTCGCAATCTTTGCGAGGGAACGCAGTTTTTTTTTTCTTCCATGCCCCCTTAGGGGCTCCGTACCACCACATTGTGATTGCGCGCGCCACGTCCAGTCTCTCGTCCTAACAGAAATTGATGGAGAGATGGCAAAGGCAGTGGAGTACTGACAGTAAAGGAAGATGGTTTTATATGATTAAGAAGACAGCGGTGGAAGGAAGGTGATAGAATGCAACAAGGGCACTTTGAAACAGTAATTCATGTCTTCTGTCACATCCCGGCTGGATAACTGTAATGCACATTACTTTGGAGTCTGCCCGTCCTCCATCAAGCGTCTCCAGCTGGTCCAGAATGCCGCCGCTCGCCTCTTGACTGGTGCTCGTAAGAGGGAGCGCGTCACTCCTACTCTGGCATCCCTTCAATGACTCCCGATACATTTGAGAGTCCTTTTTAAGCTCCTGTTATTTGTTTTCAAATGTTTAAATGGCCTCTCTGAGCTCATCCGCCGCTCCACACCTGCCCGGCGCCTCAGGTCTGCGGACCAGACATTATTAGAAGTACCAAGAACTAAGCGGAAGCTCAGGAGGGATCGAACCTTTTCCGTTGCTGGTCCTTCTCTCTGGAATGACCTCCCACTGAACATTCGGCAAGCCCCCTCGCTGCCCATCTTTAAAACTCGTCTCAAAACTCATTTGTATTTGATGGCATTTGACACGGGCACGTCTCAGATTTGATCTTAGTCTTACTGTTTGGTGCTTTCTACCGTCTTTGCTATTAATTTGTTGTTTTATTGTTGTATATATGATATTTGCTCCATATACAGCACTTGTATACAGCGATGGTTGTAGTGTTCTATAAATACAGTTGAGTTGAGTTGAGAAGAAGCAGTCAGATCAAGGTTTAGATTTGGACATACAGGTTTCAAGTATTTAAAGGCTACTGGTTTGGTTGGGAGAAAACAAAAAAAAATGAAGAGGGGTCGTGTGTGTGTGTGTGTGTGTGTGTGTGTGTGTGTGTGTGTGTGTGTAGCGTGTGTTTGTTCCTGAGCGGCATACCTGGTTCACACTCCTTACCAGTAGGTGGCGGTAACGTAACTCAAGAAGAAGAAGAAGAAGAAGAAGAAGCACCAACAGCAGCAAAACCGGCAGCGCGCAGTCATCTGAGTTCAAATTTGACTTGCTTCACGTTTTTTCGGACTTGAGCTTTCAAATGTACGACCAGGACGAAGGTGAGCTCCTTCAATTTGAACATTCCAGCGAGTCTTACGCGTGCTGGTGACAAAGCTCACCTCAGCATTTTGGTCAGCAATGAACACAAGAGCGCCGCTGCTAACCGTGTTAGCTTAGCTTAGTTGAGCATCTCCACACGCAGCCAGGACTGACCCTTTGAAAGACTGCAGAGTCAATTATATCGCTACTACGATTATTCCACAATGGCTCGACCCTTTTTCTTAAAAAAAAAAAAAAAAAAGTTCCGACAATCATGCGTCGTCAAAGAGCAAATGAAAGTCGCTACCCGCCGTCCCGTCAACAAGCTGACGAGCTAATCATTTGAATAAGGTGCGTTGGAATAGGGAGCCATCTAAAACACGCTGGATAGGGGCCCTCGAGGACGGGACTTGGGCCCCCCCTGAGTTTGAGATTGCAGCTTCAGTTTGGTGTGCCGCGAGACGAGGATCTCGAAAAGCCCGGCAGTCTCTGAAGAAAGTCCCCGACTTCACTTGTTTTGCGTGCGTGTGTGTGTGTGTGTGTGTGTGTGTGTGTGTGTGTGTGCAGAGAACCAGTACGATGAGGACGACGACGAGATCACGCCGGATCTGTGGCAGGAAGCCTGCTGGATCGTCATCAGGTGTGTTGTCGTCCATCCGACGTAGTCGGGTTTTCGGTCGTGGGTTTGGCCCTCAGTATGGCGGATGTGGCCGCGGGATCTCCTGTACAAAAGGTGCGCGTGTGTGTGTGTGTGTGTCTCCTGATCTCCAGCTCCTATTTTGACGAGAAGGGGTTGGTGCGGCAGCAGCTGGATTCCTTCGACGAGTTCATCCAGATGTCGGTCCAGAGGATCGTGGAAGACGCGCCGCCCATCGACCTGCAGGCCGAAGCCCAGCACACCTCGGGAGAAGTGGAGGAGCCCGTAAGTTGTTCCGTCGGGGCGCCGCCTCGGGTCGGACGCGGGCCGTTGCCGCTTGGCTGTCGCTTTCATCTTTTCTTTGCCCGAAGCCCGTCTGTGGGCTTGAAGGGCGGAACGGCATCCGGCTTCCTTTGGGCGAACGGGCGGCCGAGCGCATTTTGCCGTGACTTGTGGTGTGTTGCAGCCGCGATACCTGCTGAAGTTTGAGCAGATCTACTTATCCAAGCCCACCCACTGGGAGCGAGACGGCGCCCCGTCGCCCATGATGCCCAACGAGGCCCGACTGCGAAACCTCACGTAGGTCTGTCGCCGCCGCGCTCTGTCCTCCGGCAAGCCGGCCTCACCCGCCCCTCCCCCCCGCGCCCCTCTCAGATACTCGGCCCCCCTGTATGTGGACATCACCAAGACCATCATCAAGGAGGGCGAGGAGCAGCTGCAGACGCAGCACCAGAAGACCTTCATCGGCAAGATCCCCATCATGCTGCGCTCCACCTACTGCCTGCTCAGCGGCCTGACGGACCGCGACCTGTGCGAGCTCAACGAGTGCCCGCTGGACCCCGGCGGCTACTTCATCATCAACGGCTCAGAGAAGGTGCTGGCGCATGAGTGCTTGGAGCTTAGGCCGCCGCCTGAGCGCAAGAACCCTTTCTCATTGGCAGGCCCGAAGTCTTGGAACCATGTGGGGGCCACTAAGTTGATTTCAATTCGGGTTTTTGAAGTCAAACAATTCATCATTTGGAGAACGGTCCAACCTCGGCATTCTGATGAGCATCTGCGGCATAGGAGTCGAGCGGCCAAATCTTCACCTGCTATTGACTGAAAAGGGCGTCGCAATTGCTCGGGTAACGACCGGTCGTGGCTCAACTTGCGAAAACGGGTCAGCCAGGGTTGGTCGTTAACCCGAGCAACTTTGGATTGACGCCAAGTGGCAGAAAGGCCGCCCCCTCGCTTGGCTTTTGCTGCTTACCGCATTCCACCAACGCAATATTCATCCGAATGCCGTGTTTGGACTCGCATAGAAACATACTACTGTCAAGAAAAAAAACAAACTGGTTCTCAAATGAGCGGACGGCTCCAAATGGTTCAAATCCCGTTTGAACGACTTGTCGTCCACGGCGGCTTTGTGTTCCCCCTAAAAAGTCCAAAGGCCACCCTTTTTGTGTCTCGTGCTCCCCTACTCGAGACATTTTCCTGTCCTCTTGCGACACTCGAAGGCGTCCGCGGTGACTTGATTGGCCACTATGAGCACCGTGGCCTGCGTCGTAGCCCGTTGGATCTGGCAAAGATTAAGACAAAGCCGTTTGAAAGTTAGCGGGCGCGCCGACGGCCTCCAAAAATTGCGGCGACGCCCCCAAATGTTGACTCGGGTCAAATGACCTCTGATGTTCTCAGGTGCTGATCGCCCAGGAGAAGATGGCCACCAACACGGTGTACGTCTTCGCCAAGAAGGACTCCAAGTACGCCTTCACCGGCGAGTGCCGCTCCTGCTTGGAGAACTCGTCGCGTCCCACCAGTACCATCTGGGTCAGCATGATGGCGCGAGGAGGACAGGTCGGTCGTCTCATTCATTGGACACACCAGAGGGTTGACCAAATAGTTCTTAGTTGCATCCCTGCGGCAGGGTTAGTTTATTTTTTTCTAGCCGGCTCCCGCAAGCCTTGAGGGGTTTTTTTTTTGGGTCTCTCAGGGCGTGAAGAAGAGCGCCATCGGCCAGAGGATCGTGTCCACGCTGCCGTACATCCGCCAGGAAGTCCCCATCATCATCGTGTTCCGAGCGCTGGGCTTCGTGTCGGATCGAGACATCCTGGAGCACATCATCTACGACTTCGACGACCCCGAGATGATGGAGATGGTGCGTACCGCCGGTGCGGGCGTTTGGCGCGGCGCCGCCTGGTGAACCGGCCGGGTGCTTTTGCGCTGGTTCAGGTGAAGCCGTCGCTGGACGAAGCCTTCGTCATCCAGGAGCAGAACGTGGCCTTGAACTTCATCGGCTCCAGGGGCGCCAAACCGGGAGTCACCAAAGAGCGCCGGATCAAGTACGCCAAAGAAGTGCTGCAGAAGGAAATGCTGCCCCACGTCGGCGTCAGCGACTTCTGCGAGACCAAGAAGGCCTACTTCCTCGGGTGAGCTTTTTTTTTTTTTGTTGTTTTTGGGGGGAGAAGAAAACAAAATTCAACCCAAAAGGATATGGAAAGTGTCGTTGATCTTCTCAGTGGCGCTTGGGCCAGCCGCCAAGATGAAACGGCACCCAAAAACAAGTCGCGCACTCGGCCATAACCGTAACCGCGACGGTTGTGCGCGCATCGATGCGTGAGACGGCCCTGTGATGTGCGCAAGAACCGTGCCGGTCTGCATGGTGTTTTGAGCCTCCCCGTACTCGCATGACTTTGGTTTGATCCACAAAAGGACTTAGGACATGGGCGACAATCCTGAGGGAAGTTGCTGCCACTGCCGCTGCCGCTGACGTGTCCCCTTTTCGTGTCCGGCTGTTCAGGTACATGGTCCACAGACTGCTGCTGGCCGCCCTGGGCAGACGAGAGCTGGACGACAGGGATCACTACGGCAACAAGAGGCTGGACCTGGCCGGACCGCTCCTGGCCTTCCTCTTCAGAGGGTCGGTCTCGCCGCCTCGCGCGCGTCGTCCTCCGTCGGCCTGCGCTTGAGCGTTCCCGTCTCGCGTCAGGATGTTCAAGAACCTGCTGAAGGAGATTCGCATCTACGCGCAAAAGTTCATCGACCGAGGCAAAGACTTCAACCTGGAGCTGGCCATCAAGACCAGGATCATCTCGGACGGACTCAAGTACTCGCTGGCCACCGGCAACTGGGGCGACGTCAAGAAGGCCCACCAGGCCCGGGCCGGCGTGTCCCAGGTGGGCCCGTGGGGCGCTCGCGCCCACGCCCCGCGCGGTTTCCTCCCCCGGTCCGACGCTCGTCTCGCCGTAGGTGCTGAACCGGCTCACCTTCGCCTCCACCCTGTCTCACCTGCGCCGCGTCAACTCTCCGATCGGGCGCGACGGCAAACTGGCCAAACCCAGGCAGCTGCACAACACGCTGTGGGGGATGGTGTGCCCCGCCGAGACCCCCGAGGTGAGCGCTCCTCGCCGCGGCGGCAAGGTGTGGAACCGCTAGCGCCGACCGCTTGGCTGATTGCGCGCGTCTCCTTCCTGCAGGGTCACGCTGTGGGCCTGGTGAAGAACCTGGCCCTGATGGCTTACATCTCAGTGGGATCTCAACCTTCTCCCATCCTGGAGTTCTTGGAGGAGTGGAGCATGGAGAACCTGGAAGAGATCTCGCCCGCCGCCATTGCCGAGTCAGTTGCGCACGCACGCACGCACGGGCGCGTTCTGCTGACTCCGCTGTCATGAGTGGACCATCTTAGCCTCACTCGTTGCGCTGTCATGGCAGAGTTTTACGCTCTGACCCCTTGGCCCTCGTGACTGCGCTTTTCACGGCGGCTCCGTTTTGACGACGTAGTAACACGCTGCGGGTACTGGGAGTCATTTGGGGATACGCTGTACTTTTCATGCGGTATCCCCCGTGGAGCCTCCCGGCTGGGCCGCGGCCGTATGTCTGTGAGCAGCCAGCCGAGGCGGGCGCATGAGCGCCCACAAAACGTTCCAAGGCAGCAAAGTTGCCAAAGGGACCCATTTTGCCCAAAGTCGCTAAAGACAACGGCGAAAAGGAAGGGCCGAGTCACTTGTGCCATGGCAGCCTTTTGCGCCGTTTCACGGGTGGAAACGGACAACATAAACACGACATTGATGGGTCCCGTTGGGATGATATCCTTGAGATCATTGCAGATGGCCTTTGCTGGGATTCAAACAGCACATCGTAGTACTCATCAGTGGTTAGCGGGGCCGCTTTGCTCCCACACACCCGCTTCGGCGGCCGTTGAAGTCCAATTTGCCGCTACTCGGTTACTTTCCTCCACTTCTTGATCATGACAGGGGTGTCAGTGGCCCCTGAAATGCCACGGTCTCCTGCGTCGCGTGACCCGCACGGTCGTGACGACGTGACTTTTGCGACGGCGCTGCGTGCGGCGCGTGTAAGTTGATTCTCTGTTTGTATGGCGTGACGCGGCAGCGCCACAAAGATCTTCGTGAACGGCTGCTGGGTCGGAATCCACAAGGATCCCGAGCAGCTGATGAACACGCTGCGCAAGCTCCGGCGCCAGATGGACATCATCGTGTCCGAGGTGGGTCGCTCGGCGGGGGGGTCCGACGTCCCCCTTCCGCTCCCCCGGCTCGGTCCTCGCCTCGACGCGCTCCTCGCCCGCCTTTCCCCTCGCAGGTGTCCATGATCCGAGACATCCGAGAGCGCGAGATCCGGATCTACACCGACGCCGGACGCATCTGCAGACCGCTTCTGATTGTCGAGAAGCAGAAACTCTTGCTCAAGAGACGACACATCGACCAGCTCAAGGAGCGGGAGTACAACAACTACAGGTGATGGCTCGCGGCGTCACGGGAAAGACGCTTTGGAAGGAAAGTAACTTCCAAGTTTTCCAAAAGTTCAAATTGGTCAGTCAGAGGTCATGGCAGCTCAACAACAACATTTTGCAAAACTCGTTTGGGGGCGGTGGGGGGAGAATCACTTGAATTGGGTCCCAGCTGGGTTGCTCGAAGCCGTCGGCCTTGGCAAATGGTGACGGCCCACCGCCACGCGGAAGACATCGACGGCCTCCACGCGAATTGCAGAGAAAAAAAATGGCGCGCGGCGCCATCGCTCCGACGCACGGACAAACCGGTGTTTCCGTCGTTCAGCTGGCAGGACCTGGTTGCCAGCGGCGTGGTGGAGTACATCGACACGCTGGAGGAGGAGACGGTGATGCTGGCCATGACCCCCGATGACCTCCAGGAGAAAGGCGTGGCCTACTGCTCCACCTACACCCACTGCGAGATCCACCCGTCCATGATCCTGGGGGTGTGCGCCTCCATCATCCCCTTCCCCGATCACAACCAGGTGAGTCGGCCGCTCCGCTTTGCGTGGTGAAAATGAGAAATCCTTTCCAGGGCTCAACCGGTTCTTTGAAGAACGCTACGGATATGCTATCCGTCCGCCGTGATCGCAAAACGATACGGACGGATTCATCGGACTGTTAAAACGACATTTTTGGGGGGGGCTTCGTGCGAATGATTTGCCACAAGAGAGCAGTTGAGACATATGATGAATAACGAGACCGGTTGAATTCCAGCGTATTGGGCCTGCGCTTCGGGGGCCAAATGTGGCAACTCGAATGCGTTTGACACGCCTGGCCGGGACCAGAACGTTTCCCAGCGCGCGACATGGACACTTATTTTGTTTTTGCGCGCAGTCTCCCAGGAACACGTACCAGTCGGCTATGGGCAAGCAGGCCATGGGCGTCTATATCACCAACTTCCACGTCCGCATGGACACGCTGGCGCACGTCCTGTACTACCCTCAGAAGCCGTTGGTCACCACGCGCTCCATGGAGTACCTGCGCTTCAGAGAGCTGCCGGCAGGTACGTACGTACGCACGCATGTCGGCCGGCTGGCTGACGAGCCCCTCGCCGTCGGTAGGCATCAACTCCATCGTGGCCATCGCCTCGTACACGGGCTACAACCAGGAGGACTCGGTCATCATGAACCGCTCGGCCGTGGACCGAGGCTTCTTCAGGTCCGTCTTCTATCGCTCCTACAAGGAGCAGGAGTCCAAGAAGGGCTTCGACCAGGAGGAGATCTTCGAGAAGCCCACCAAGGAGACCTGCCAGGGTGAGCGCCGCCTCCGGAAGCGTCCCGCGGGTCGCGCGCTCCGCGAGCGCGGCACGTCACTGACGGCGTCCGCCGGCCGGCAGGGATGCGCCACGCCATCTACGACAAGCTGGACGACGACGGCCTGATCGCCCCGGGCGTGCGCGTGTCGGGCGAGGACGTGATCATCGGCAAGACGGTGACGCTGCCCGACAACGACGACGAGCTGGACAGCAGCAACCGCCGCTACACCAAGCGCGACTGCAGCACCTTCCTCCGCACCAGCGAGACCGGCATCGTGGACCAGGTCATGGTCACGCTCAACCAGGAGGGCTACAAGTTCTGCAAAATCCGGGTAACTCCCGCCGTCGCCGGGCGCCCTGGACCCGCGCCCCGGCCTGACGTCTTTTGCCGCGGCAGGTCCGTTCGGTCCGGATCCCTCAAATCGGAGACAAGTTTGCCAGCAGGCACGGGCAGAAAGGAACCTGCGGCATCCAGTACAGGCAGGAGGTAAACGGGCCGCCGGGGCACTTTTGTTGGGCAGGACATGCCCTTCACGTGTGAGGGCATCACACCCGACATCATCATCAACCCGCACGCCATCCCCTCCAGAATGACCGTCGGCCATCTTATCGAGTGCCTGCAGGGCAAGGTGAGCCCCGCCGTCTTCGTGCTCGCATCGTGGCGCATGTCATGAACGAATAACACGTCGTCGCCGGGGATGCTCGTTATTCGTCCTCCGCCAGGAGCGGTGTCGTTTTGTGGCCGCGCCGCGAGTAGCAAATGAATCTTTTGCTGCAAGCCTTCTCCGACTTAATCCTCACAATCTCCCGCTTTTATTGATTGACTTTTTTTCTGAAAAGTCCACCTTGAAAATGCATTTCCGGTGGTGCGTCGTCGAGCGCTCCCGGCTTCTTGCAACGAATCCCACTCGGAGGACGGAGGGAAAATGCCGAGCTACCCGGAAGGATCTGCGCGGGTCCTCCAATACGGAGTTTGAAATGCGATGCCCTTGTTTCAGTTGTTACGGGGCCTGCGTGGGGAGGCAAGTTCACAGCGGCAACGCGTAAAAGCCGAGGTCTGATCGGACCAAAAAGGTCGTCGCCCCCTCGATATGGAACGGAGACAAAAGATGCGAGGGCTCCGTGCGGCGTTTGGCCCATTGCAGTCGGTGGTCGTTGCTGGAAGGAAATGCGGACAGTGTTTTCCAAACGCAGGCCGGGGCCTTTGATGACAAGTCGCTGAGTGCGTTGAGGCCCCGCTTGCCATTTGCTCCCCGCAGGTTTCGGCCAACAAAGGCGAGATCGGCGACGCCACGCCCTTCAACGACGCCGTCAACGTGCAGAAGGTGTCCAACCTGCTCTCGGAGTACGGCTACCATCTGAGGGGGAACGAGGTGAGCGCCGCTTCCTGCCGACGGGGCCCCCCCCTTCCGCGCCGCTGACGGGCGGCCGTCCGCGTTCAGGTGCTGTACAACGGCTTCACGGGCCGGAAGCTGACGTCGCAGATCTTCATCGGGCCCACGTACTACCAGCGCCTCAAGCACATGGTGGACGACAAGATCCACTCCAGGGCCCGCGGACCCGTGCAGATCCTCAACAGGCAGCCCATGGAGGGGCGATCGCGGTGAGGCCCGGCGCCGAGGCGCAGCGCCGCCGCTCGACCGCGCTTTGACGCGCCCATCCGTCCGTCTCGCCTCACCTCAGGGACGGCGGCCTCCGTTTCGGCGAGATGGAGCGCGACTGCCAGATCGCTCACGGCGCCGCCCAGTTCCTGCGCGAGCGTCTCTTCGAGGCGTCCGACCCCTACCAGGTGCACGTCTGCAACCTGTGCGGACTCATGGCCATCGCCAACACGCGCACTCACACCTACGAGTGTCGCGGCTGCCGCAACAAGACGCAGGTAACGTGGCCGCTTTTGCGAGCGCCGAGACCAAAGAGACCAAATGCCCTTTTAAAAATAGGGAGATATCGATGTTTTTTTTGATCTCGGACGCTGTCCTCTTGACAGCACAGCCGCTGAAATTTCTCCATTCATACGCACTCGCCAGCGTTGGGCATAATACGGTTTGAAAGTGGGAAGCGCACGGCCTCGCTCGTCGGAGCCGCGTTGAAAGCCGGCAACTCGGCGATGCGCTGACGGCGCAGCTCTGAAGCTCCAGTTGACGGGGCCCGGACGCCGCCGTTGAAACAAATATCGATCCCGCGTGTCAAAATAATTTTGCAAAAACGGGTTCGATTTGCACATTTTCGGGAAAAATTGCATCGGCGTTTTCCCGACAGATATTGCGATTTGGAGTCAATTTTCCTGAACTCAACGCCGACGGCGAGCAAAGCGCCATTTGCTCGTCCGCTCGTCGCCAAGTCAAGTGTTGACAAGCTGTCGGCTGTTCCGCACGTCATTCGGGTCTCGAAGGGCGTTTTTGGAACTCATCTCTTCCTCTGCCAAATATCGGTGGGGCGGGGGCGCCGCTTGCCAGTCGCCCGCCTCGGTGGCCCTTTTGGACGAGGTGTGATGGGCGCGCTTGGTGTTGCTTTCAGATCTCGTTGGTGCGGATGCCGTACGCGTGCAAGCTTCTCTTCCAAGAGTTGATGTCCATGAGCATCGCTCCCCGCATGATGACGGCGTAGCCGCGGCCTCCCCGACGCGTTTGGACTTGTCTTTCGTTTTTGTTTTTTACACAACAATAAAAGTGACGTGAGCACACAGCGCCGCGCTGCAGGTGAGCTTTATTCACATTTCCGCGAGGGCGGCTGCAGTTTTGCTATTGGTCATGCAAAAAGCCACAGAGGCGAGCATGCTTTGGATGTTTCCAAGCAAAAGGTCACGAGGTGGCAAGGTCCGAGACGGGTCTCCACGCGGCCGCCGGCGGGCGCTCACAGTTCCCCCTCCTCGGCCACTGGCGGGAAGGGGAAGGACCCGGTTAGTAACGTTGGGGGCTTTTATCTTGAGCGGCGGGATGTGTGCCGCGGGGTGTTTCCGCTGCGGCGGCGGCGGCACCCGCTCGCCACTCGCCGCTTACCTTCCTCGACCTCGACTTCGCCGATGACCTCGACCTTGACGTGGCGGATGTCGGCCACCAGCCGGATTTCGCCGACGGCCGAGGCGTCGCCTTGGGCGTTGGCGGCGCGACACTCGTAAGTGCCCGCCTCCTCTTTTGTCAGTGGAGAGATCTGAAAAGGACGAATGTCAGCTTTTGCTTTGTTTTGTTTGGAGGGCCGCAGCCCGCCTGCGTCCACTCGCCGCCACTGACCAGAACCCAGCCCGTCACTTGATGTTTCTCGGGGCCTCCTCTGGTCTGGACGGCCAGGTTGTCCCTGTCGCCGGGAAGCAGGGACAACTTCTTCCTGCTGCCGGTCACCTGCGGGGGGAGCGGGGCGACGCCATCATCGTCACCACCACCACCACGGTCAGTGCCGGTCCGGTTTGTTTTTTACGAGTCGTACCTTCCTCCAAGTGAGCACGGGCGTGGGCACGCCGACGGCCTCGCAGCTGAGGAAAACTTGGGCGCCGCTGACGTTGAAGACGCGCGCGGGAGGCGAAACGATAACGGGAGCTGCCGAGACACGAATAGGAATTTTGTTTGGGTTGGCCGGCTCGCTCAGGAATTCCGCGTTCGGGCCGTCGCCGGCGGGGGGGTGCGGATGAGGACGATAAAGCCGCCGCGTGAAAGGCGCACGCTCAGGCATGTTTTGTTAGCTCAGCTCGAGCGTCGGCAACGTTTTTTCCAGATTGCAACTGTTTTCCGTGTCGCGTCTTCAACAACGTGCTTTTTGAAGCTGTGACAAACAGGCGCGGATGCACGCCCTCTCCTGGTCCTGCGGCACCAGCCCGTCTGCCCTGCGGGACAAAAGGGCGCTTTTCCTTGGTCGATATTTGAAAGACAAAACAAAACCCAAGCAAATAGCCTCTGTCAGATATTTCCAACAAATGTTTCCATGTCAGATGGGTCGGCTGGGTAGACTTTGAATTGCCGCGCTCGCTTCCCTGAGTAAAAATATTTGACTCCGTTCACAGAAATTAATACCAGAGCAAAATCTTTTTTTTTTTTTTTTTGGTGGGGGGTGCTTAATCACCCCCCCCCCCCAAAAAATGTGCATGTTTGTGTTTTATCATGCGGCTTGTTGCGTTGTCACAAAAGAAATCTCTTTCTATCGATGACTCGGAAGTAAGTGGCCAGACACAGTTCTGGGTGGCGCCGTTTTTGAAACGTTCCAGGCAGATATTTTGGTGTTTTTAGCAGCATGACTACGACCAACCTTTTCTGGTGCGGTTTCTTTCAATCTCTTTGCTTGCTTCTTTTTGTTGTTGATACGGATGTTTGCCGCTGTAAGCTGAGCAGCAATGAAGTTGAGCTGTCCTCACCTGCTGCGCATCGCCCTTTGTTGAGCACGCTGACTTGCGGCCGTCCTTCTCCCTGCGCGCGCGCGTCGGCGCTCTTGAGCGCGCAGGCGTGCGCGTAGGTGACGCCGTCGCTGCCGCACACTTCATCTTGGCTCTTGCACGCGCACACGCCCAATTTGCTCTTGTCGGCACGTACGCACTCCAGGCCGGCGCCGCAGCGCAACGCGGCGCCCCTTCCTCTGCTGCCGGCGCAGGGCTCGCCCTCCGCCGCCAGGCACAGCGTGCAGCAGCCGCACGCGTCCCCGACCGACCCGGCGGCGCAGCCCGCGGCCGGCGGAGGCGCGCACCGGGCCGGCTCGCAAGGCCCGCATTCCGGAGCCGCTCGCGCGCACAGCAGCAGCGCCGCTGCGAGCGGAGCCCAGCGCCACAAAAACAGCTTGGACTTCATGCCGACCTCAACGTTTTGATGGCAACTAAACACAACTCACAGAGAGCAGCCCAGGCAAACTCCGCCTATGACAGGATGTGTGTGTGCGTGTGTGCGATCCCAGCCCAACACACGAAGAGAACAGTTTTTTTCCTTAAAGAATGCGATGTCCAATCATACGCGCCCTCCCCACTGATTTGAAATGAATCGTGTTTCAACAGATCCGTGCTTGATGGGCAAACTGGACCCAATCCAAATAAGCAGATAAAAGAAACGGTGGAGGGCGGGACTTTAGCAATTGAAAGGTACTGGCGTCCAGTCGAGAGCACTCGACTCATCAAGCACAGTCCAGAGACGCGTCTGAGCCAAAGCAGGAAGATGTGTGCGTTTTTTCAAACGTCTCTGTTCTCGACCAAATGGGATTTCGACCAGAAAATTTGAGATTTTTATGACTCGGATTACGACCGAAAACCGGTTTTCGACCAAACTGAGCAAACCCGAATACGCCACTCAACTTCCTTACACGAGGAAGTGACGCTTCCTCCTGTAACGTTCAATGTGAGCAGACGTGTTGTGATTTACGCAAATCTGACTTTTTTTTATTTGTGCATAGTGTATTCGCCCCTAATCATGGGCTAGTAAGAAAGTTTTGGATTTCGAACAAATGGCTTTTTGAACAGCCTTCTGGAACGGATTCGGCTCGAAAACCAAGGTGACTGGATAACAAAGCAGGAAATGATGGGCCTCGCTTGAAATTGCTCACCTTGTGCATCTCTATTGAGCAAGATTTGCAAATCATGGTGTACTCGCTTCTCATTTATATGTACAACACAACGTCCCAAGTTCATTGGACTTGTGTTTGCACAGTGATTGCTTTTCATGTTTTCAATGTGAATTCAGTGATACTTTTGCATACCACCAGAGGGAGTCCGTGGTCGCAACAATCAACCATCGAAAAATCTCGTCAATGCCAGTTCGCAAGAATAAAAACAAAGAAACGAACAAAAATCCGTGATGAAGGGAGAGAAGTCGATTTATGGTTTGAGATCCAGCGTCACCAGTAGAGAATGATTCAGAAGTCTGCAATGAGTGAACGCAGCGACCGCGTACGTTCCTGACTCCTCAATCACAACAAAGGGCGTTTAGGAACTACACCCACCAAACGGGTAGCGGCATCAAAAGTTCAAAACGTTTCAACAAAACGGCCAAGTCACTTTCTGAAGTGTTATTTTGAGCAGCTGCGAATGCACTGAGAGAGGAGGAAATTCTTGCGGGTCCCGATTGATGCTTGCACATAATAGAAACTGGCCCACAGGAAATGAAGACGAGTCCTGGCTCGGGTCAGCGAGTCCAAAACACACACACACACACACACACACTTCCTGTCCAGCTGCAGGCAACTTCCTGTTCACTTGCGTACTTTGGAGAGAGGCATCCAGACATTCTTGGGGTAGGGAGGCAGAACCCAGACTTGGTCGGTGGTGCGCTTTGGCGCCACTTCCTGCACAGCCACTGCGCCGCCAATGACTTCCTTTTTACTTGCGGTACTTCCTGACGGCGGCGTCCATCAGGTCTTTGTAGGGCGTGTTGGAAGGCCGCGTGGGAAGTTTGAGGATCTTGCAGAGAGCAGGAGCGCGAAGTAGAAGATTGTGACCCAAGCCCACCAGGCTGGAGCACCACCAGTAGAGCGCCATCGCCTGGACGGAAGCAGAAAGACGGCGGCGGCTTACTTCAGCTCGGGCCGTCGGCGCGCGCGCGGTACAGAACTCACCGACGGGACCCCGGCAGCGATGGGAATCATCAGCAGGGACAGACCTCGCATGGCGTTTGTCACTGCCTTGTGGGCGGACGACACGTTGGACCGCTGGAGGGAAAACAGCTGAACCGGAAGAGGATGATGAGAAGGAGGAGGACGACAACACCGCGACATCGTCGGCGATCCATGGCGTACCTCCACGATGAGCAGATTGGTCAGCCCCAGAGCGAGCGGCAGGAGCCACGTGGAGTCGGGCGACGTCAGGTCGGGGAACCACAGAGCGCCCCCCGTGGCCAAGGAGGCCTTGAGCGCTGAAAGGCAAACGTGCTTCAAGACCACATGCTGGTGACAAAACCGCATGAGCGGTCAAGCCCGTGTTGTGGTCTTCGGGTGGTTGCTCGCTTGCGCCCGATCTTGGGGATTTTGTAGCAATCATTTGTTTGGGCCATTTGCCATGGCCGAAGCACATTTTGGGCACTTATTTCTGGACGGACGTGTTGAGGCTAATGCACAACGTCAAGAAGTGTCTTTTGGATGATCAAGTAGAGTGATTCGATTCCAACTTGAGGCCTTCCCTTCAAACATCGACCCGCGCTCGATAACCAAGGCCTCGCTCGCCGTCGACTCACCCGAGTGCGGCGCGCTGAGGTTCCTGAGGGCGAGCGACAGGCCGATCCAAAGCGGCAGCTGAACCCAAACCAGCAGCGATGCCTTGAAAGGGTGACAGTTGTCCCTCACATACAGCTGCGACACCAGACGCCGCAGATTCTTCCGGAACTGGAAGCTGAACGCCGCAAAAGCGCCGTGAGCTGGGGGACGAGGCGAGCCGATCTCAGTTCTCGGTTGCCCTTACCTCCTCTGCTTGTCCGTCCAACCTCGCTCGCTGGCCCTCAGCGACACTTCGTACCGCAGTCTCTTGGCCAGCGCCGCGATCTCCGTCTGCAGCGCCTCCACCTGCACGTTGCCGCGGTGACAAAGAGGAGGGGGGCAGGTTATCGCGGTTACGACAGATTACAGGGAGCATCTGAAAAGGACACGTCCTCAGAAGGAAGCGTCTCACCCATATGCACTTGAGGATGCCGCTGCCAATTCACACATTTGTCAAATTAATAGTCTGGTGGATTAAAACAAATACGTGTGTATACATATATAAAAAAATTATATATAGGAATTTTTCCATGTTGGTGGACAGCTGACATCTCAGGAAGGACGCGAATAGGATTGAAGGGAATCAGCATTCCATCTAATGATGTCCTTCATCATTGTACCTGATTCCAACACTGAACACCGTTTATCCCATCATGAGAAAAAGAAGACCAATCATCGGCAAACCTGAACTAAACATTTTGGAAAGCGCTAATATCAGCCAATAAAACTGCTCCCTCGGCAGCTGTTCGATTAGGTCGCGCGTGCTTCCGAGAACACGTCCTTCAACGCGGAAACATCTATCGGAGGAAACGTCCTTCTAAGTGAGGGCCGTGCGGCGCGACCTTGGCCAGGACGCGCATCTGGTAGGCGGCGAGGGGCAGCGTGACCAGCGTCCGGACACTCAGGGTGCTGACGGCGATGCTGAGCCACCAGGGAAGCCCGGTGGTCTGCTGGACCTGGACCAGTAAGTCCTCAGCCAGGTGCACGGGGGCCGAGCGCGCCGCCTGCTCGTACCAGCCCGGATCCACGCCCCCCGAGGACAGATGGCGGCGGAGACTTGAGGAGCGGGCGGCGGGAGGAAGACGAAGAGGAGACTTCTTGAAGAAGGCAGAGCAGCGCGACGCTCTCAAGGGGAGCCGCGGGAAGCGCAGACCCGCCAGGACCAGCATGGCGGCCTCCCACTACGAGGATGAGCGGCTTGATTCAGCTCATCCCAAAATGAGTTCGAGTTGTTTCTGCAAATCGACATTTGTGGTCATAGGCGAGCCAGCAACAACATGCACAATAAAGCACAGAAGATACACAACGCTTACTTCTAAGGGATAAACATGACGACATGAAAGTCTCCTATTTCCTAATCACCTGCTAAGGGTCGTTTGTGGAGCGCTTTCACCTTTCTGCTCGCTCGCCGCTCAGCAGACATCCGCCGAAAAGGAGAGGCGCGGTCTTATGACGTCGTGGGGCGATTGCATATGGCGTCATCAATAACCACTCATCATCCATTTGATTTTGTGCTTTGCCTTTTTATTGTATTTATAATAATAATAATAATACATTACATTTATAAGCGCCTTTCAAAACACTCAAGGACACTTTACAATCAAAACAAGAACAATAAAACCACAGATAAAATTATAAATAATAAAAGGAGAGATGAATTTGTTCATATCTTTGCTCTAAATAGAACAGCAAAATGACAAACGTGCTCGATTTTGCCATATTCAAAGGAAAAGGCAGACTGCTAGGAAAGTAAGCACTATAATCTCTACTCGAGATGTTTGTGTGTATATTTTGCTGAATTTCATTTCATTTTGCGCCCAAACTCAACTTTAAATTGAAACAAAACGAGACAAATGATTACAAAAGATTCCAACTTTCGGTGCTTTTTCGACAAAACAGTTCGGATGTTGATTATGTACATTCACCGTGAACGCTTTAAAAGAAAAAAAAAACCCAACGATCTCCAATGGCGCCCACTTTTGGACGAAAGTGAAAGTAATTTTGCGCCCGGTCTGAGTAATTTGTTGTCCCTTTCTTTTTTGCATGGGGCAGGGGGAATAAATAGTCATTGTTGACATGCTTTCCATTTGGCTAATCACGCAAAAGTGTTGATCAGAATGTAGTATTGAATGACTCTTCATTTTACAGGGATACATATCATTGAACGTTTTGACATTTCTTCGTCTTTTGGTGAGCCGTTTCGTTGTCATCCCCAGTAGTCTTTTTTTTTTTTCAGGATCGAGCCGGGCGTCGTGGCGACCTGGCCTGCTGCGGCTTTATTGTGAAAGAGACCGGAAGCGGAAACTGAGCCGTGGGCAAAAGCACCAGCAAGATGGCGGAGTACAGCCAGCTCGGCCTGCTGGGTGCTCTTCTCCTCTTCACTGTTCTCACGCTTCGCGACGTCTACGTGGGCAAGTCGAGTTCTCAGCAGTTCGCCGCCGGGCCGGAGATGGAACCCGGAAGGGCGGCCAAGGCGGCCGTGTACGTCGGCCCCGTGCTCAAGTTCCAGTACTGGTGAGCCAGTTCGTGGTGGCGGCTAACAGTTAGCTAGCGAGCAGAGAGCGAGCGGGCGGGCGCATTTTACGCACTCTGCTGGGATCGCGGCAGCTCCTGCGTCGACGCCGCTCGCGTCGCCTCCTCGACGGAGGCACCCACCTGCTTTGGCATTTGCTCGTGGCCCGGGGAGATGTCGCGACTCTATTCCACCTGCTGCTGCGGCGGTCGTTTCTCATTGCACGCCATCGTACGTGTTGCACTCTATTAAAGCCAATACGTTGCGTACGACCAAATACCTGCTGCACTCAATTTACAAAATGCGTTCTCATTTTCGTGGACTTGGGCACTGTTAGCTGGTATGATTTGTTGAATCATTTGTTTCGCTACTCGGCTGTGTGCTTTTGTAGATGTTTAAGAGAGCGTATGTTGAGCACTTCCACAAAGGAGTCGTTTCAAAGCGCTAACGATGGCGTGGGATCAGAAACTGCAGCCACCCGACGGCAAGTGAAAATGCAGGCAGCTGCCGCGACATGCTCAAAGAGACTCATGCGATCAACATAAATACGGCGAACCCTCGTTTCTCGTGAGCAAGTCCTCCGAGCGAGCCGAGCAAGGTGAACTTTGTTCTGTTTGTCGCTTTGCTTGCAGTATCTCCTGAGGCTACAGCAAAGTGTTCCAGGAGTACTCCAGGGCCATCGGGCAGCTGTATCCCGACATGCGCATCGAGGGGCAAAACTACCCCCCCGGCCCCGTCAACAAGTATGCACACTCGCGCTGCGTGGGCCCTCCCGCGCCGCTCGCCTGACGCGCCTTTGCGGCTCTCGTCCAGGTTGTTGGGCAGCGCGGTGTCGTACCTGAAGCTGGCGTCCATCTTGTTGATCGTCAGTGCTCAGAACGTGTTCGCCATGCTCGGTGTGGACACGCCCAGGCTTTGGACGTGGACCCAGGACAACAAGGTGAGAGCGCTCGCCGCCGCCGTCGCATCCCGGCGGGTGACATCTTCAAGCCCCTCCTCCTTCCGTCAGATCTTCTCGTGTCTGATGGCCTTCTTCCTGTGCAACATGATGGAGACGCACTTCCTGTCCACCGGAGCCTTTGAGGTCACGCTCAACGGTGGGTCCGATGGCTCCGTCGCGCCACGTGGACCGCTGCCTCCGATTGCTCCGTGTCCGACCGGGAAACCGAGCCTCCCGGTTCGCTTGATGGAGGCGAGCCAAGTGATTTACAGCATCTGCTGGCGCGCCGGCCGTTGCGACGTATCAAGCGTGTCGGCGGCGGCGCCTCCACGCGCTCGCCATCCCGCACGCGGACGGTCACGGAATTGACGGCGGCCGCTCGTTAGCGCTAGCGCCCGGACTGGCTAACGGTTAGCAGCCCACCGGACACGCGTTTGTCGGCTGGCGATCGCCAGGCCAGGCCAGCCCTCCGTTTTGCAAACCTTCACTTGAAGTCAGATGGAGACTATCAGAACGGCGCCCCCAAGTGGATAATAACAACAATACTGGAATAATATTCCACCTCACAGTTTCTTTTGCTATTGTTTGATCGTGTCAAAGCAATCTTGATTTGATGACGCGAATAATCAATTGCGCCGTCGGAAGAGTCGTTGCTTTTTGAGAGATTTTTCTCTCTCTCTGTAGATGTCTTGCCACCTTCCCGGTCCAACCGTTTCTGACAGCGTCCGCTCCCTTGTTCCTCTTTGCCCCGCGCGCCTGCTGGATCCGTTTGGATTTGGTGGGAGGAAATGGGCAAGGGGAGAAAACGTTTTTTTGTTTTGAGTGAAGTAAAGAAAAACAATTTGCCCCTTTATCCCAATATGGGACATGAGTTCAAATTCAGAAACCAGTCGGCATTGTTTTCAAAGTCAAAACAAATGTCTCATCATGGGAAAGAAAAAAAAAACACGAATCATAAAGAATATTTTCATCGGACAAGTTTTTGGCTTCCGCTCGGACGATCGCAAAGTCGCAGCCTTGAGCGATACGATATGAGTAGCGAGGGGGGGCGGGGGGCTTTGACACTGCGACTCCGCAGCCCGCCTGGGTTGAGTGAGCCTGGATCGCATCTCCTTGCCGATGAGGTACACGAGGCTTCATGCACGCCAGCCACACCCCGGAAATGACCGCAGCGCGTTCCAAGGAAGGGCGGGGGGGGGACATATCACGTAAGGGACTTGGAACGCAACAGGTTCCCCCCCCCCCCCACAACGCACTTGTGTCATATCCAAGTGGTGTTTATCAAAAAAACATAATGGGTAACAAGACATGACGTTGAAGCATACTCGACGGGTGCAGTGTCCAAATGTTGCACCGCCGTGGGGGTGGGGGGCACTTGCCGTGAACGTCAGATGTACTCCGAGCGAAGTGGGGCCGCAAACCCTCCGGGTTGTTGTTTGCACGCATGACGTTGAATGTCCCGCTGACCGTGGCGCCGTTGTCGTTTGTGACCGGCGCAGACGTTCCCATCTGGTCCAAGCTGGAGTCGGGTTACGTCCCCAACATCCAAGAGATCTTCCGCATCCTCCACAACCACCTCAACATCAACCAGGTGGACGCCGCCGCCGGCTTCTCCTCGCCATAGAAGGTCAGCCGCTTCCTCGCCGCCGTTTCCTTTGCTTCTCCCCGCCGCGACACCAACGCGCGTGTGCGTTTAGGTGCGCCCTGGCACAGCGGGACCATCGGCTGCCGGCATCCGTGAAGGTGGGGTCTGAAAGCAAACTCGGCAGGACCCCGCTGGAAGTTTCCCGCCGACGGCCGAGTGCCGCCGCTGCCGCCTTGTGCTCGGCCGACCCGTTAACTGCAATTTTCTGGATTGACTGTGGAGGGGAAAAACAAACAAATCATGTTACAAGCGTTAGCCTCACGCTAGCTAGCATTTCTTCTGACAAGGTCTCGGAGTCTTTCTTTCGCGTGCGTGGTGTCCCTCCTAACTCATTGTCCTAACTTGGAGCACGTGTGCATTTTTCGCATGAGGCAAAACTACAATCGGGCGTTTTGGTTGCGACCAGGAAGGAGTCAGGAGGCCACGAGTGCACATCACATGCCTGCTAGTTGTGTCACTGCTGCATTTATTTGTCTACTAGTAGGCCAAAAGTGGCACTCGTCGTGGGGAAAAAAAAACCATGACTACTAATGCAACTCTGTGAATTAGTAGTTACTCGTGAGGTCAGAGAGCAAAGTACTTTATGGACCTGAAGGCTATACAATAAACATGAGTTGTGTCCTAAAACCGAAAATTTGTTTTTGTGTTTTCGATCGCCATGCCTTGTTTGCAAACTGAACCTTCTCAGACATACTGGTCTTTGTAAAACCTCCATTGCAGGCAAGCAAATCCTCTTGTGCAGCAACCGCCACATCACGAGTGAGTTCAACGTCGTTTGGATGACCATGTGTATCGAAATCAATCATCCTCATCCTATTCTCACTTTTGCTTTTGAAACAAAAAAAAAGTCTTTCTGGTGATTGAAGGTTTTTTTTTTTTTGCCTTGCTGATTCCCACGTGCTTGGGCCCTCCACCTTTTGCCGGAAAAATCTCAATCCTTCGCTATTAAATTCGAAGTTGGGCTGAATAGTGCTTGCATTGGTTTGACTCGGTCCAAAAATGCAGAAATAGAAGGGGCGGGGGAGAAATACCTCAAGCAAGCAAAACAAAAACTAATTTTGACTTGCCTCTTGAAACCTCGAAACGACGTTGCGGCAGGGATGGAGGCAAGCCAGCCGCGCAACAACAAACTGGCTGCAGATTGGCCGAGAGGTCGCCTGAGGGTCACGTGACCTGGTCCACAACGTCAAGGCTGGTGTAGAGGCGCGCCCTTTGCCTCCATGGCCCATCCTCGTAAAGAAATGGGGGAGTGGGGGTCGTATAGTACGACAGGTTGCCTGTTGGGGCCGCCAATGTGGAATAAACATTGCAGACTATCCCCCCCCCCCAAAAAAAAAAAGTAAGCCGCCGCTCACGTCCTTTCACCCGTTTCCGCCCATCGCCTTTGGGCGCCTCCCTCCAGCCCGGCAGGGCGGCGCTGTCGCGCTCTGCGGACCACAAGAGAACGAGCGTGAGCCGGACGGGAAGAGCCTTGGCGTTCGTCTCAGAACTGAAAGCGGGCGGGAGAGCTCGCGAACGTCTCGGTATTGTCGCGACCGTGGCATGACGTCTCTGACCGATGTCCGCTTCCGACGTTCCCGCTGAAAGTGTTCGCCCGCCAAGCAGCCTTCGACGACGGGCGGAAACGACGAAGCGAAGCGGAGCACCGACGCGGGCGGTGAGTGACGCTCACTGCTCGGCGCCTTAGCTTGGCGGCGCGGCGAGAAGCGGCGCGCCACTTCAACTTTTTCTCTTTTATCGTTGAGCTTGCTTGGTGTTTACTACTTTTCATTACATTTAAACTGTCTTTGCGAGACTTTTTTAGGGGGCGGGGGGTGGGGGTTCCCCATGTACACCATTTTGCAGCAGTGGTTGATTTAAAGTGCCCGATTAATATATCTTGTTTTTTGTTTTGTACAACAAAATAACTGAATGTGTCTTGTGTCTTCAGCGTTCTCCTCCTGCTGTCGTCCTCCTGCTATGAGCAACACTGTAAGTTGACACACTTGCAATCAATCGTTCAAAAGCAGGGGTGCCACCTGGAGGAAAGTCCAGGTCCGAGCCCGCTCAAACCGTTGGGGATGCGCGACAACGATCGAACGGATCCTTCTCGGGCGATGGTGATTTCGCTATGACGTCACTTGCATCGCTCCGATATCGGTAAATTCGGCCGAGCTTGACAGATCGGCCTCACGCGCACTCTCGAAAGCAGGCGTGTCCAGCTCCGGGCCTTGAGGGCCACCGTCCCGCCTGTTTTCCATCTCTCCAGCACACCTGATTCAGATGATAAGCTCTGAAGCAGCATGAGAAGCATCCTGATGATTTGAATCAAGTGCGTTGCTCCCGGGACAGCTGCAAAAACGGCGGCCCTTGAGGACCGACTTTGGACACCCCTGCTCAAAAGTTTGCCTGGCGACCGTCTCTTCAAGAGTCCTTTCAAGCACTCCAAGTCTCCTTGAGTCTAAAAACTAGATTCATCAGAAATCTCGGTAGTTGGCGCGAAGCATCCTGATGATTTGAATCAAGTGCGTTGCTCCCGGGACAGCTGCAAAAACGGCGGCCCTTGAGGACCGACTTTGGACACCCCTGCTCAAAAGTTTGCCTGGCGACCGTCTCTTCAAGAGTCCTTTCAAGTCTCCTTGAGTCTAAAAACTAGATTCATCAGAAATCTCGGTAGTTGGCGCCAACATTTTCACGAGCGGACACGCCGCGAGCTGGCTCCCATTCGCTTGAATGAAAGCCAAAGCCGGCGGCTGCGGCTCGCCGTTTTTCCTTGTTCGCTGCGTTTGTTGCCGAGGACTCTGATCGCGTGGACTTTATCAGCATTGGATCACAGTGCATATTAGCCAGTCGGAGCGACCTTTGTGGGGTGCCACTTCCAACATCCAGGACAAGTTAGCCGACCAGCGCGGCTCGTCCGCGGGTCTGGCAGAGGCGGTTCAAACAAAAAGGTGATTGTGAGGATAAGTGCTTCGGAAAATTGAGGGATGGATCCAAAACGCCGCGACGCTGCGCCGTGTCCTCCTGTTGTACTTGTTGGTGAGGGTCTTGTTATTGTGGTCCTTGAAAACATCTTCACATGAAACAAAAAAAAAAAAATGTGACTTTCAAAATGACGTGATACCGCCAAAGCGGTCATCGCGACATCCTCGCGGCCTTTTGACGAAACCCACCTCGCGGGCGTACGTTTTAACGTGTGAGCAAAACGCATCAAACGTATCCTCGGAATTGACGTGCTTCTAATTTTCAAGCGTGTATATGGGAAGCTACTTGGTCGGTGTGTTTTTAGGCGCAGAGGAAGAGAATGAGTGTGGGGAGCCTGCTGGCGTCCGGCTGCCCCAAACCCCGCGGCCGCGCTCACGCTCGCAGAGTGGTCCATGCTAACACAAGGGCGAATGCTAGCAGAGTAGCCAGGAGAAGAGCCAGCCCCCCGGACGTCCCGGCGCCCGCCGCCGGCGAGACCATCGACGTGATGGACAACCTGGAGGACGGTGAGTCACGTGACCAATCCGAAGCCACCCCATTCGGGGGTGGGGGACGTCGGCAGCGGAGGCTCGCTCACTTGTGATCAATAACGCGCTCTTGTTGCCGTTCAGGCGTTGAGGAGGTGGTGGATCTGACATCCGAGGCGGCGGAAGCGTCGCATGTTGTCGACCTCACCAGCAGCGACTCTGTCCTGGTGAATAACAACACACGCACGCACGCAGAGTGTTCACGCGCTGGTAGGGAAGCGCCCCCCCCCCTCCCCCACTCGGGGCTGGGCAATGATCGATTTGGATGAGTTGGGCGGGAATGACAGCTGTGCCTCTCCGAACGCACCCTTCGTTCAAAGCCGAGTCCACTGAAGTTGGGACGTTGCGTGAAACAGAATTCAACCATTTTCAAATCATCTTAGCCTCGATTTCATTGCATCCACTCCCAAGACGAGAACGTCATCGCGTTATGCGAAGGCGTTACCAGCCAGCCCTTTGATCTCGAACCACATCGGCAGTCTCAAAGCATTGCGGCGCGCTCCAACTAACTCCTCCTCCTCCTCCTCTTCTTCCCGTTGCTGCCTTCACGTGGCCGACCGCTGCGCTGCCCCAGCTGGTGGATGAAGGTACAACTCGTCCTTCCGGTCAGACTTTTGGCGCATGCGTGGACTTGCCGTGACGCCGCCCGTGTCCGCCCATCAGGTTCTCCGAGCAGGAGAAACGCGTCTGGAGAAAGTTACGTCGTCAGCAGCGATGACGACGAGGCCTCGCCTCCCGTGCCCGGCGCCGACGTCTTGTCCTCGCTCCAGACGCGGCGCTCCAGCAGGTGACAAAGCGCGCCCGTCGTCATGTTCCCCGCAGGGCCCAATCCTGCTGGGATTGATGTGCAACATGGCTCACGGAGATCGAGATCTGAAGACGCGCACGTCGGCCCTCGCCCCTCGTCCTTCGCTAAATGGCAACGACAAGTCAACTCTTCTGATTGGCATGTCGCATGTGCGGTAAAATACGGGTCCAATCCGGCGCAGACGCACGTCCCCAGTTCATCAAAACAAGTTGAATCCAGCTCCCAGTCATGTCACACACCGAAAACAGACGCTCCATCCAGGTCGTAGACAGGTCCCACATCACCTGCACTCATTAGTCCCCACAGGAAAAATCCTGATTCTGTGGAGAGCAAATTCCACGGCTTGTGGAGAGCAAATTCCACGGGTATTGGGGGGGGGAAAAAAAAAAAAAAACACCTCCCTAAAACGACCAGTGAAAACGCAAATGAATGTACTCAAAGATTTTATTTTATTTATTTATTTTTTTTAAAGGACATTATCCGCAAACCCAAAACTTCCTGGGACCTTCTGGTTTGAAAATAAGTGTAGACTATGCCAGAGCGCGCCATGTTGCTGCAGGGGTTGAACACTCCAAATGTCATCATCTGCCCCCTTGCCCCCATTCCCGCGGGGACTAACTCCTCTCCGATTTGCAGCCATAGCCCAGAGGAGGATTGCGTCTGTCTCGTGCACATGCCCCCCCCACAGAGCAAACCAGTCAAATGCAGCTCATGGCCGCTAGGTGGGGTTCAGCGCCATTTCAAGACTGCCTGTGAATTGCAGCCTTTCCACATGTGCCTGAAAAAGAGATGCAAAAGTCCAGGTTGGAGACTGGTCCCTGGCAGCAGGTGGACTAAGTAAGGGTGTGTGTGTGTGTTCAGGACTACACCGGGAACCGTCAGCTGCCCAGTGTGCATGGACACGTACTCGGAGGTGAGAGTGGCCACCCGCGAGGCCGCGCATGCGTGCTGTGTGCTGCAACAGGCTCACGTTGTTGTTGTTGTTGTTGCGGCGCAGATGGTGGAGAGCGGGCGTCTGGTGGTGTCCACCAAGTGCGGTCACGTCTTCTGCAGCCAGTGCCTGCGTGACGCCCTGCGCCGCTCGCTCACGTGCCCGACGTGCCGCAAACGCCTCACGCCTCGCCAGTACCACCCCCTCTACATCTGAGCGCCGACGTCTTGCACTTTGTTGGGTTTTTTTTTTTTTTGTTTGGAGCGGTCTTATGTATATGTGTGTGTGTTGCGCACGTCAAGATAGCGCCACGTGCACCCTTCAACCGGGAGCGAGCGGTCACCCGACCGGAAGGACCGGACCGACGGGAAACTCGAGCCGGCGGAATGTTCCGGAAAGCTCAAAGGCGGGGCCTTTCTCTTCACTCGTCGCCACGTGACAAAAACATTCTCTGAGTCAAACATGACTAAGGTGGAGAAAGGTCATATTGAAGACATGTTTTCAGAGCCGCTTGAATATGATTTCAGAGCAAAAGGGTGACAAAATGTTTTGAGTCAAAATAAATCAATAAAGTATTCTTGTTTTTTAATAACACGTCACCACCACCCTGTGCATCATTCCCACTCCAAACCGATGCAATGTTCACTTGTCTACATCAAATTGTTCTATTTCTCATCATTTCATAAACTTGGCTGCTGTCGTTTCATTTTCAAGCTTTTTGTCTTTTTCTACTTCTAAATCTCCACTCGAAAAGGAGATTTGGTAAACATACAAGACATTGGAAGCAAATGTTCAGAAGAAAAAGTACATTTAATGCAAATATGCGAATGCGTTGGGATTTCAATCGGGATTCAGGATTAAGACAATTGATCATCTGAAATCATTGATAATTATTTGAATCATTGTGTTGGGACCTTGGTTACATTTCAAATTGTTCAGTTGAAAATTTCAGCCTCTGGCCATCAACTATGAAAGCAGACCCATTATCTTTTGTGTCAAATCCAAATAAAATCGGCGAACATCGGCTTTGACCCATTATCTTTTGCGTCAAATCCAAATAAAATCGGCGAACATCGGCTTTGACTTCGAGAAGTAAAGATCAATATTTTTCTGGACCAAACCAGCAGCTAAATCATGATCGTTTCCTTTTTCTTTTTTTTTTAATCGTGTCCTGTGCTGCAATACATTATAGCGATGGAAATTAAAATTTCGATGAAAACAATTGTTAGTTGCAGCCCCAAAAGACTCAGTGATTTGATTGAAAAAAAAACAACTTTTAAACAATGAATGCGTTGAGTGGGATGAGTCAGTGAAAAAGGCACCTGACAGCGTGTGGTTATCGAACGTGAAATGTGCGTCGGACTAAAATGAAAAAGAAATAGCAATTGTTGTTTGTTGTTGACGTTAGCATGACGAGCGAATTTTTGGGCGACGGGTCACATGAGGCGCGGGGAATCCCCGGATTGGAAAAAGGCTTCGTCATCCTCCGGCTCTCTCATTGGTCCGCGTGGGCGGGGCTTGAGCGCCGAACCAATCGGCCGTCATGTAAATATTGAGTCGGAGCTGATGACGCTCTACCCGGAAGTGGCCGAGACAAGTCGAGCAACAGGATTTAAAAGCTGCGTCACAAAGTGCCCAAGTAGATTCCACGACGACGAACGGAAGAAGCGCAAGCCGAGCAGCAGCAGCAGCAGAAGAAAAATAGAATAGAAGCAGCGGCCAAAATGTCGGTGACGGTGAAGGCTTACCTGCTGGGCAAAGAGGAGTCGGTTCGGGAGATTCGCCGCTTCCTGGTGGAGCAAGACGCGGTCGGAAGCTTCGAACATCTGTGCGACAAAACTTGTCAGATATTCTCCGGACTCAAGAAGACCGCCTTCAACATGTACTACAAAGGTCGGACAGCACACGGCTGATTTGTTGATGTCGTTTTTGTTTTTTCCTCCGGGCCTCGCTCCGCAAAGTTTGATCGTTGGCCTCTGTTTTGGCTTTTGACCAGACTGCGAAGGGGACCTGGTGGCCTTCTCGTCGGATGACGAGCTCGCCATGGGCGTGGCCTGCATGAAGGATGACGTCTTCCGGGTTTTCATCAAAGGTAAACAGACAAAAATCAAAACGTGGTCGTCACCGTCACCATCCGAAAGTCCCAAACCGCCAACCGCATTTCACACGGACCGTTGAGAAAAAGCCAACCACAGTATGAGTTGCAATGTAAATGTTTACTCGAATACAAATAGAAGTAAAAACATGGACTGCAGCCATCTATCTCTTCATAGATATACCAAATGGATGTCTGTTTTTGTAACGTAAATATATTAATCTTTTCGTACATTCTAAAAAATATCAATGCGTATTGATGTTTTAATTTACCTTTTACAAATGTGTACCGTATATATATTTATTAATGCGTTTTTTGATTTTGTAGTTCAATTCCTTTGAGGCCAACAAATATTTTTTTCTTGTTAGATCATCGATATGAAAAAAAAAAAGAAATCTTAAGTGCCTGTACACCTTTTCCATTCGGATGTTGAAGAGTAAAGCTTTGCTCGGTGCATTGAAATATGACAAGCTATTTCGATCAACGTTTCCCTGCTGAATGTGTGCAAATGTCGCGCACGTTTGTGTTTCCAGAGAAGAGAGAGCACCGTCGTGACTTCCCGGTTCAGGCCTTTCCCCCGAATGCGTTTGCGACGGCGGCGGCCCCTCCCCCACCCCTGGGCGGCGTGCACCCCAACGTGACGTGCGACGGTTGCGAAGGTCCGGTAGCGGGCGTGCGCTTCAAGTGCAGCGTGTGTCCCGACTACGACCTTTGCTCGGCTTGCCAGGTCCAAGGGAAGCACACCGAGCACCCCCTGCTGCCAATCTGGCACCCCCTGCAGGTCGGCATCGTGCACTACACTTCTCGTGTCGCGCTTTCGGTGTGCGCGCGAGCTCATATGCTCTGCACGCTGTTTTATCAGGCGCTGTTCCCGCGGGGAAAGCTGATGAAGAAGATGCGGCACTGCGGCAGGAGCCAGAAGTGTGCCAGAGGCGGCGCCCCCGCTGGTCAGTGCCTTGGTTGTTCGTGTGTTCATCCTTACCGTGCGCTGCGTGGGCTCATCTGTGACCTTTGACCTCAAAGCAGGCCTCAGCTTCCTGAAGAACGTCGGTGAGGGCGTGGCAGCCATGCTGAGCCCGCTAGGTGAGTGGCATGTTGCTGCGGCGGTCGTCGGGACGGAAAGTGATGGGTTTTTGTTTTTTTTTTTTTTGTCATCGTCATCGCGCGCAGGCATCGACGTTGACATTGACGTGGAGCACCAGGGCCAGAGGACCAAGGTGACCAGTCAGGATGAAGGAGAGGCGGAGGTGTGCGGAGCTGAGGGCGACGCTCAGCCCAGAAAGGTCAGACTCACCTTTTTGTGGTGGACCTCGATGGTTCGGCAGTCAGGAATGATGGAACGATTTCACTTTGGGGAGCATTTGAATTTTTCCTTTTTTTAAGGGGCCGAGACGCCGTCACAGCAATTATATCGTGTTGTCATTTTTGCTGCTTGTGTGCAAGCTCGTGAACGAACGTCTTGCACGAGGCGCGTCCTTCTTGCCATCTGGCGGCCGGGCCGCAAAGGACTCGTGGCACGCATTTCAAGGCCAGCTGAGTCTCTCATTGACCCAGACGGTTGCTGAAAAGCCCACCAAAAATCTCCCTGGGCTTATTTGTGGCTCAGCAGTGTTGCACGCGGCTTTGGCTCGTTCATCATTCCCAACTCCCCGATCACGATGTTGGGATTTGGATCGGGTTTTGTCATTTATAATTGTGGAGCCCGAAAGTCAGACGACGATGCCGTCGCGCTCTTTTGCCGACGTCAGGCTTCAGCCGCTGCCGCCGCAGACTTGGATGAAGAGTGGACCCACGTCACCTGCAAGGAGGTGGACCCGTCCAGCGGCGAACTGCAATCGTTGCTGCAGGAGGACAAGCCGGATCTGGACGGGGACCAGAACCTCAAGGGAGACCAGAACCTCAAGGGGGACGTGAACCGCGACGCTCCTGCCGAGATCCAGAAGGCTCCTTCGGGCTTGAAGGCGGCAGCTCTGTACCCTCACCTTCCTCCGGGTAAGGTCTCGCCTCCCGCCCCCGCTAAATTTAGGCCTGCTTAGCTAACGCGTGCCCCCTCCTTCCCCCAGAGGCGGACCCCCGCCTGGTCGAGTCTCTGAGTCACATGTTGTCCATGGGCTTCACCGACGAGGGCGGCTGGCTGACCCGCCTCTTGCAGGCCAAAGATTTTGACATCGGCGCCGCCCTGGACGCCATCCAGTATGCCAAGAAGCCCCGCCCCCAACCGCACTGATGCCAGCGCTTCGTCTCATAGCACACTTGTACGCGTCACAGCGCATGCGACGGCGTCAGATGAAAAGCAGTCATCGCTAATAGGCCGGTCGCTACACTCTGTCATCACGATATTTGCTTGATACTCAATAAAGACGCTTTGCTCGGCTTGAATGTTTTTGGTTTTCTTTGAACGAGACAACATGAAGGTTGCAAACATTGCATGAAATAACCGCGCAATTTTATGCAAGCGGAGGCCGACGTTTTCCTCAGAGGCTCGTGTCAAAGTCTTCTCCGCTGTCAAACATGGAGCAAGGGTGGAGCAGGGGAGGGGGCCACACGACAGGGTCGGCGGCGCCGTCGCATCCCAAAGACGGCACTCTCGCCTCCACCTTCCACGGGGCCCAAACAAAAGAGACAAACCGGCTTAGCGCGCGCGGAGTTGGAGCCGGCCGGCCGGCCGGCCTGTTTTCCTCAGAGGCTCGTGTCAAAGTCTTCTCCGCTGTCAAACATGGAGCAAGGGTGGAGCAGGGGAGGGGGCCACACGACAGGGTCGGCGGCGCCGTCGCATCCCAAAGACGGCACTCTCGCCTCCACCTTCCACGGGGCCCAAACAAAAGAGACAAACCGGCTTAGCGCGCGCGGAGTTGGAGCCGGCCGGCCGGCCGGCCTCACCTGAGCTCGGTCCTCACGCTTCCTCTTCCTGAGAGGTGCGCACACAAACGCGTTAGGAAGCCGTCTGACAAGCCCATTTGGTTTGGGAGCGGACGTGGCCCAAAAAGCCCATCACCTGTCCGTCATGCTGTTGCCTCGGGAACGCGGCATGTCCTTTGGAACGACATCTCGGTCCTTCTCCTCAGGCGCGGCCATGTATCGGCGCCAGCGGCTCACCTGCGCGCGGACCGCCTGCGGGCACGCGCTCACGGGTTGAAGAGGCTGCTGATGTGCGTGCGTGCCGGCCTGCGCAGGTCGTCCTCTCACGTGCCCGTCTCGCTGGTCTTCACTTCCCGTTTCCTCTTCCGGCTGTTGCCTGCCAATCACATGCCGATGACGTCAAAGTCGAGCACGGGCGGCGTGCGTCCCGGTTTGTGATGGGGTGCGATTTGTCTCAAAATTATTCACGCAAATATCACGTGTATTTTTCTCCCGCTCTTTGTTACCAGCTGTTGTGAAAACACTTTCGACCTGTCACTCAAGATGTCTTGCATTGTATGCGTTTTTTAATTTGGGGAGCGCACTTATAGCGTACCATTTGTCTATTTTTACTTCTGCTTGAGGGTTGTTGAATGCGTTTTTGTGGGTCGCACATTCAACCATTCACACGCAGAACAGAACTTTCACAAATGATAAATGGCGAGGAATGCTAACACCACATTGACAGGAAGACGGGAGGATGGCGCATACATTAGATGATCTGAAAATCACGAAAGTCGTGCGTGTGCGGCGAGAATGAGAAAGTTGGCGCTGACCGAAGCGAGCGGGCGTCTCGCTCTTCCAACACGGCGCCCCTGGCGGCGTTCAGCTTCTGAACGTGACGTCTGCAGTCCGCGGCGCTGCCTCCACCGAACTCCTTCGTCGTGGATTTCCCCCCCGCCCCCCCAAAAAAAATCAAGCGATTCAACTAGAGGGGGAACCTGATGACGTCACCCGTCCCCTGGCGTTCATCTGCTTACCTTGAGCAAAGATTGTTTCTCCCCGCAGAGTTTACACGTCCACTTTTTCACCTTCTTCACCTGTCACACGTTTTTTTTTGGGGGGGGGGCGTGCAAAACCCCCCACAAACAAAACCATGATCATTTCGATTCTCTCCTCTTTCATCTCAAACTGCTTTAAACAACAAAGCGTATGAGAGGAAAAGTGATTGTCCGTGTTTTATGTTATGTGTTGCCTTTATTATTTTACTTTAACTGTTTTGTTCAGCGCTTTGTGACAGCTGCAGCTGTCGTGAAAGCGCTATATAAATCAGGATGTATTGTATTGTATTTGCTGCATCACCACAT